AAATTTCCCTTCCTTAAAATGTTTAGTACACACTGTTTGTTTCAAAGTTGTGCATATGTGTAGGAAGTGATGTGAATCAGTTACAGTGCAAGATATTATGTACTAACAATAAAAAACAAAAAAAACAAGAATTTAATGTTTATTATTTTTTTGTAGATTCTTCACTTTTTGAGGACTAGAGCACACCCTGAAATGTTAAAAAAGGTTTGTATGAAAATTTGTTCTTTGTTCAAGTACAAGTTAATCTCTTTTCTGAAATAATGATACTTACTATTTCATGCTTTGTGGATCATGAAAAATTTTGTAAGTTAGTTATTTTTAAGCTTCATTGTTATTTTTTTCTACCTCCTTGTTGTTTGTCTACCAATAGAATTGGTATTGTCAATTTAAGGATAATTCTTTACAGACATAAAATGTTAACAGTGTTGTTGCTCAGGACACTTTCCCTTAACTGAAATTGGTCGAACTTACTGACATATTAAACAAAAACACTAAAAAAAATCCTTCAGATACTTTTGAAGAGTTTCCTGCACAACTTTTTTTCCAAAAAAATCCCGATAAATGTCAGTATCTTCACAACTGCTAAACTATCTCTCCCCTAACCCAACATTAACCTTAACTTGTTATCAGTCAAATTTCGTTCGGTCAGGGGAGGGGTAGATGTGCAGTTGCTCAGATACTGACTTTGATCCAAAATATCATCAGAGGAGTGAATGAGTCTTGGAGGTCAACTGATCTGAGCGGATATTCAGTTAAGCCAGTCAGTTCTGACTTATGTTTTCTGGCCACGTGCGTCATGTTTCCTTCTGTCACTTATTAAACGACAATCTCTTTACTTCCCAGAATCCCATCATACCACCAACAATAAGTGATCAAATTCGACTCTGGGAACTGGAAAGGAGCCGAATGAAGTTCACTGAAGGTAAGGTCATAGTATCTTAGACTTAAGGGTGTCCTTAAGAAACTTACCCCTTTTATTCAGTGCTCAAATATACCCAAACTGCAAGGACAATATATTTTAACTCAAATAAAACGTTAAGCAAAGTTAATCAGTTTTTTTTAAGGAGTCCATGTCGCCTTTCATTTTTCGCATTTATGGTGTTAACCTTCCAGAGACCTACACTTAACAGAAATATTTTCTTTTCTCCGCAGGTGTGCTATACAACCAGTTCCTCTCACAAGCAGATTTTGAAACCCTAAAGAAGTATGCTGAGGTAAGGGACCTTGTGCTAGTATCATGATTCACTGAACATTACTAGCTCACCAGTATTGCAACTATGTTGGCTTGTTGTTACATACACTCACATTTTCCTGAATTTGAATTAATTGCACAAAGTGAAGTGAATTAAAGTGAACGCATGGAGATTGAAATGTTTGGGCAAACGATAAGTCTGTTGTTTGTGTCTTTCGACTTTGAATATGTCAGTTTCCGTCTCAAAGTAATAGGAACAGTTGAATACCTTTCTCTGTACCTATATATTTTGCATTGGTTTTACGTCGCTCTCGCAACCAGATTTATTGGGGCGATTAATCGGAACAAAGATTGACATCGTCATTAGACAATGACAACGCAAACTGCTTGAAGCGCGGGAAAACGCGAATAACATAGTCGCAATTGTTTTAAGTTTTGCGTCTGATTGGTTTAGAGGGTGACGCGAGTTTTCTGGGCCAATCGCAAAACGAATTAAAATGAAACAAAATCAAACCCGGATTACTTCAACACTTAATTCAAAATTTCTCTATATTCCATCGAGTTGTTAGGCCATTCATCAGAACTTAGGCAAAGGACTTTCGCACTTAATCTGTTTCTTCTACTTTCAAACTGTTGTTGTAGCTGATCTTCCCTATCGGTTTCTCTCTGCAGGATCTTGGTGTTCTAATGTGGGCTAACTCATCAAAGAGAGTTATTGTTGTTAGCCGCTCAGGTCATGATGACGTTAAAAGGTTTTGGAAACGACAGAAAAACACGTGACAGCTCGTGCTAATGCATAAGCTTGCAAGCCGTACTACTTCCTCGTGGTTGGCACGTGACTAGTAATGGAGAAACCGGTCCACGCGTGCGTCAGGGAACTACAAAAACGATGTGACAACTTCTGTACGTACTGGCTGGGTTTTTAAGGCACGTGAATTTCACTTGGCGCATAAAATCTAGCCCATGCCTTCGTTTAGAAACTTGAAGTGAAATCGAAGAAATTTAACAAAAGGAAAAACAGATCAGGAAGCTGTGACCGAACAAAAATCCATCTCCAACTTAAAGAAAAATATTGACATTGACTAACAAATAGGAGAGAGATTTTTTTTTGATATTTTTTTTATTGGCGTATTCCAATTAATACTGTATATACTTGTTTCTGGAGGATGAAAACATTTGTAAACCTTTTACTGATTAGGAAAATAGTTTAACAAAATGTTTTCGCTCAATGGTGTTTTATTGCGTGCTTTTCCCCTTTCAGCATTCGCGTAGCTATGAACTTTCCAGCTAATGTTCCTTCCCTTTGTGTGCTATAAAAGTCGGGAAAGGTCCCTTGACTTTTTGTGGAAAGTGTTAGATTTGGCCGTGGAAGGTCTTGGTACGAGACTAAAAAATGAATTCAAGTAACATCCTGTATTCAGCCTGTTCTCAAAAAGCTCCAAATTTGTTATGCTCAGAAAACCCGATTTATGCTTAGTGCTTCAGAATGTTTTGCGCAGTGAAAATTGCCGCCTTCTCTCTGTTTAAGTTGCTGCGTTTCTGTAAATGGTACCTGTGCTGAACTTGGAATAATTTAGTCAGTGCATCTACCGACAAAATTGCGTTTTGCGCTTCAATTGGAAAGGGTATTTTTCGCGCGAAATTAACCTCCCAAATCTTTGCCGCATTTTCGATTTAATTCGAATCATGTTTGGCCCTAACATGGTTTCTTCAGGATAACTTCTGACTCTTCTATTCGTCTGCTATCAAATTCGTTCTTTTAACCCGGCTTCCACGTAAAGCTCAAGGTCAAAGGTTATCTGCAGCGGAATCAGATCAGGGTATTACCTGATACCTGTCAAAAGAAGACAAGTACCAATGACTCAAGCTTTTGAAAGTTGTTAGGCGTCGCCTTGGCGATGAACACCTCAGATTTTAACCCTTTAAATCCCAGAAGTGATTACCATGTAACTTCTCCCTATAGTATCAATACGTTAGACAGCAAACAGGTAGTGAGAATACTCAAACTCATCACGTACAATTTTGTTATCTGGATTCAACGCGTTATTCTCGCGATCAATTTACAAAGAAATGTGTAGTAGGTAGTGAATACTCAAACTCATTACGTACAATTTATTAGCTGGATTCAACACGTTATTCTCGCGATCAATTTTCAAAGGAATGTGTAGTAGCTAGTGGGGAGAATTGACAATCAGATCTTGGGAGTTAAAGGGTTGAGAACAGGGCTAATCCGTCGAGTGAATCGAGTTTAGGGAGGGGCATAATCGGATGAAATTTAGCGAGATAAAGCAAAACTTACCTTTGGACTATATCTCTGAGCTGAAAATCATGAAGAAATACGAACTTAATAGAACTTTACTTATGCCGGGAAGCATGCTAAAGACGATTTCGATTTGCATTCATCGACAAACCTCGGCTGCTAAGAGGAAGACTAGCAGCAAAAGGCATTGCATCTCTGCGTTCCCTTTGGAGTCGATCAAATACGACGATTAAAATTCCTTCACCAACGCGAGAAACGTACTTCGCATAAATAGATTACCTTTAGGAGGGCTAAAGTTATGTGCACCGGTAGAAGCCAATTACCCTAGTTATGTACATTTCGGCAAACAAAATGAATAAATGAAATCGATTGTAGTAGAACGCAGTTTTTTCAGCTTCCCAGCGAATTTTTTGGCGTTACCAAGACCGCTCTTATTCTGAGCCACAAAAAATTATTCCACTTTTTTTTAGGACCGTTACCCAATACAGCACCTTCCCTCCATAACAATCTTGATTTCCAGGCCCTGTTCTAATCCCACAATGATGCCTAATATTTTGTTTACACAAATCTTCTAGTGTAAAACTCCTTGCCTTTCAAATGTGCCGCAAACCGTCTACTTAGAATACCTAGAAACGTACTTTCATTGCTTTTACGTTACTCTCGAATTAAGGTAATCTCAGAATATAACTTCTAAAGCAACCTCTCTCCCTCTAGATATCATTATGAATACACACTTAAATATCAAGGTGGAATCGTTTTCTCTGTAGAGTAGCATATATCTTAAAGGTGCCTGTTGATGTATGAAGATTTCAAAAAAAAGGTTCCTCGTAATTAAAAATCGGCACACGCAAGATAAAAGACGCTGTTTATTCCTTCGCTACACACGTGTGAAAACCTTGAGATAACGCTAAACGAAAAGACTATTTATTCTAAAACTTTTAATTCATAACCTGTCTCTGTCAGTGAACACAAACGAAGGAACGTAGGAGAGAAAATTCGTGAGGCTCATCCGAGAAAAACGACTGAACAAGAACAAATTTTTGATTCCTACGCTTTTGAAACTCGGTTGGCATCAAGTACACGCACTGTCTCTGTAAAAACATGACCACAGAAGAACTAGCCAAGTGAGTCCTACTTACGACTCGGTCAGTGAAGGCCGGCGTTTATACCATTTTCTTGAGCTCCCCTGCTTTCAAATCACATAAAAAATTAAGTATCCATTTAGTCTCCATTGTTCAGTTCAGCATGGAGTCATCAATTGATTACGGCCAGCTGCAGTCGAATTGAATGCTTTGGCAGTGAACCTTAAAAACACAGCACATGTTAATTAAAGTTAAACACTATGGCTTCCCCTTTCATAGACTACGCGGTCTCTTGAGGTTTTTCAACGGCAGGAAACAATCGATAGCCATGAGTCTGCGTTTAATGCGGAGGCGTAAATTTCGACTGAAAACAAGCCACATCCGGATTCCAAACTGAAAAAGTCAGACAACGGAAAAACTCACTAAGGACCATTAAGTTTGTCGTCTTAAATACAGATTTGTTTCGTTAAGGTTTATTTTTGTGCTTGAGTTGACTAATATGTTTATTGTAGCACATACGTGAAATCATTCCAAGAAGCTTATATTTGCTGGGAGCAGGCGGTTTCGTATCATCTTGAAAATTGTTTCGATGTCTTTCACGATAGGCATTCATTTAGTTGCTTCGTTTTTAATTAGTGTTTGATTATTCCTCTGTTGACACAGTTTTGCGGGCTTTTAATCAAATGATCGAGGTGTCATAACCTCACGTAGTGATCACAGAATTGTAAACTGAAACTGTTTTTGTCAGAGCAGTCACAAAGGAAACTCTCGCTGTAAACAAGCTCTTCTTCACAAGGCGGACGGACCTATATCAGCGCAAAAAATTACTTTGGGTCAATTAAACTTGGGCAAATTCTTTGACTTCCCTCACCATAAGAAGCTACGTGATTCCTGCTAATTCGAAAAACTTCCTTTACACACGTTTTCAAAGGAAGCCACAGGCTCTGTTTGTTTTTACGCCAAGTGATTACCAAAATTAGCCACTAACAAGCAAGTTATTGTCATCGCTGACACCTTCAATACCCAGAGCCTCACTTGCACGTGGACAGTGTTATGAATTTTTTCATCCCGAAAAGATGTCCGCTTCACCAATGGATACAAGGCAAGTAGGTAGACATGTCTTTATTTTCTCGAAGCAGAATGGAAGCGAGAATTCTCCTACAATTATTGCAAAGCCTGTCAACATCACACAGGATTTGCCACGAGAATTTCTACGCTATTTAAAAACATTGTTCGATATTCTTGACGAGAAGGGAACAGGCTTTGTGCGACTCTCTGACATAGAGACTAGGTGGAAAACTAAACAAGGCTCGAATGGACTCGGAGAGGGAGTCATGGAAAATTTACGGAAGGTTACCCCCAAGAATGGGCTTCTGAACTTTGAAAGACTATGTACTGGAATGAAATTGGCCCTTAAAACGCAACCACGCGCCCAAACAAATGGTAGTGCGAACGGCTTAGATCACTCAACCAGAAGATCGAACTCGCTACCGCAGCTGGACACGGCTACTAAAGGTTGGACTTCCGATTCTAGCGAGGACTCATTTGCAGGCAACGAAAACAGAACTAAGGCTCAAGTAATTAACAAATTAAGGGATTGGAAGAATGAAAATCAAGAAAAGAGGCGTTCTCTGACTTTTAATGCTTCAAATCCACGGACAAACGGGAACGATAGCTCCGGAAGTACAAGTAAGTGTTTCTTTTGTTACGACACGGTGGGCTGGTAGTAAATGATATTCATGGGAATTTCGGCCTTGAACCTATAAATAACCACCAATTTTCTCTTTGTGGTCCGAATTTTCTAATTAAATATGACTAGTAAAAGAAATAATTTTTCTTTCGGGGCGCTTTTAACTTCATAAACGAACGCGCGTTAATTGAAAACAGTAAAGGTGTCCTAATCTAAATAGAACACGGATTAAAGCATACCGGGCGCTTTAGCATATGTCCATATTTCGACGTTTTTACGTCAAAGGATGTCGCATATGTTTAAAATTAGTTCAATGGAACAGTACTACAGAACTAGTGGCGAGACAATGTTTATTTTTTTTTATCTTTTGCACTCGTTCAATTCGCTTGAAAATTTATTATGTTTAAACTACCACCCTCTTGATCTGAAGTAGTTTTTTTCGCATTTCAGAGGTTCTAAGACTGAGAAGTATTTACAACATGATAATTCGTTTGGCGTCAGATTAACGCTAAACGATTTAGTTGTAATCCTGAATTTGGGCACAAAAATTGGACGTGCCAAAATGTGTAAGCCATTCCAGCGAACACAATAGAGATTACGATTATCAAAATACCAGGTGGTCTCTCTGCATGGCGACCTCGATTATGTCTAAACAACATGTCAAAACTTTAAAATTAGACTGTAAGGCCAATGTACCGCTAATGTCTTCAGCCATGAAAAAATGTTTATTTTACATTGTCAATATAACATATCTTTTTCGTTGCATATGATTGATGAGAATATTAGCTGACAATTTAGAATTCCTGTGGAGATTATAGTTAACTTTTTAAAGTTTCAGAGGTTACAGATTTCATGTCTGGGCCTGTTGTGGTTCTTTCTCAAAAGTTATGTAATTGAGTCTTGACAGACCATGCGTCACATTATTTTTTTGTGATAAACAAACTACCTCTTAACTTAGAAATGCTGGAGGCAGTGCTAGAAATAATCTTAAAACGGAAAAGGATGTTGAAAGCAAGGGAGATGCAGCAATATAATCAGGATGATGATGCAGCAGTGTCTCAATTATATCCCCTAGGATGTCAATATACATCCCTTCACAAGAGTTTCTGCCCTCAACTTCTTCCTAAAAAATATTGGATTTTTCTCATTCAATCTTAATATACAAATATCTTGGCTTTGAGACCCCCCCTAAGCCAACCCACATTTTGCAATGTCTAATATTTTTCATTAGATTAATGGATGGATTTTTCAAGCATTGATCACAATAGGTGAAGGACATAATTTGGAAGTGGAAAATAGATGCTTATAGGAGTTAATTTTTTATAGAGGGGCATTACCAATGATGGTTGAAATTCCATCCCTATTTAGGGCAACACAAGTTTAAAGTAGACTGGGCCTTCATTAGAGTAAGTGGTGATGGGGGAAAATGAAAGACTTGTGAGACACTTAGAATCCAGTCTGTAAAACAGATGGAAACTACATGTACATGTACACAATTTGTATTTGCAATACAAATCACAATGACATCACTTTACCTTGATTTTCACAAGCATTATAAATGACAAGGAAATGTTGAGTTGGAGTTATATGATACTCACTCTTCCACTCTGTTTTGAAAAACATCATCTTCTTTGCAATATTTTCAAATGACAATAATGATACACTGTTTACACAAAGCTAACTTTTTAGCTACTCTTTCTAGACAGCTGTCTTTTTACTGAGTCACCTTCTGCTACAGGAATTTTAATCCCCAACTCAGAGAACTGAAAGGAATTTTAGACTTCTTAGCAGAAATAAATTGCATTGTAAATAAGATTTGAGACTTTTTGCAAGAGCTGACAACTTTGACTTTAATATTGGATAAATTGTTTAAGAGACCTATGAATTCATGGTATTTTCCATCCCATACACTAGATCCTGCATGTTGACATAATTTATATGAGGCACTTTCTATTGAAAGGTCCTACAAAAGTGACAACTCTAATTACATTACTGACTGACACAGAACTCAGCCTCTGTGAGATACTTTAGGTTTTAAATTGTCCAGTATTACAGAAATGTTCTGATTATTTTCCACTAACTGTTTATTTAGCAAAAAGATACTGAGCCATTTTAAAAAGAAGACCATGCTGTTCTTGTAAATAGAGATTCCAACAATTTAATTTACTGTTTCTATTATCAGTGAATTGTGACTGCATGTGCCAAACTGATTTCATGTTTGTGTTGACTTGCAGGTCCATCCTCAGGAAATGGAAGTCCAAAAGGAAGATCAAATTCTACAACAAAAGTCTACTTTGTTGGTAAAGAAATCAGCAGTAGTGTACCAACAAATTTAAATGGACATATTAAAGATTCTGCTGCTCCTACTGAAATCCGGACAATTGACAAGGTAATTCATAAGATTATTTAACTTTCCTCACTCTCAAAATGTGGTGTCTTAGTTCAATTGGTAGAAGTATCTTAAACCACTTTCTGGTAGGAAAGGAATGCATTTTTTTAAAGTAACTATTATTCAATTAAATTACTGAATATACGGTACGCAACAAATTGAAGGGTGTCCCTTTTTATTATAGTGCAATCAAAATTTATTGATATAATGAAAAAATTAGTAGAATCAACTATTATTGTCCTTCATGATATGCAGTCAGGTTTCCAGACATATGTCTCTGTAATATTGATTATTGATTAAGTATTTAAAAATGATAATAATGGCACAATTTATTCTCCCAAGTGACTCTTTTGGTCAAAACAAATTATTTGCAAGCATATCTCATTTATATTTTGTCCTAGGTTAGAGTAATTTTTTTGATGACAACTTTGATAAATATTGTATACTTATATCAATGCATGCAAGTAAGATTTGATAAGCTTAATATTCTGGCTGGAAAATGTAGTTTGCTTGATTTTTGTTGAGGGTCAAGCTTGGGAGATAAAAACATACCTGCAACTACCCGTAACCCTTCAGCTTGCAGCAGTGAGAGGAAATTGTACAATGGCTGCAAAAATAGTCTGGAATTTTTACATGTAAACTATTTCATGCTATTTGAAGACTTTTCATCATGGACATTCACATCATTCGGTATCAGAGATATATTGATAATCCTAAAGATGGAAGAGACTTGAAGGGTGCAATGTTGGCACTCAAACTCAATTAAATGGCATCAAAAGTTATGTTTTTTCTTCTTTGTTGTACTCTGTTGATTAATTACGATGGAAGCCATGTTTAATATCTCTTTGAAAACTAAATGCTGTGCATTAATGTGGTCTTAATTAAATTGTAAGCACTGTAATAGCTTATTATTAATTTTATTGGTTAGATAGTATGGTAAGGCTTGATTTGAAAACAAGAATGCTGGCAATATTTTTTATTCCTGTGATATTGTAGGATGCTAGATTACAAGAGCTTGATGATGAGCATGACCTTTTACAAAATGGTCTTCAGGTCATCGAAAAAGCTAGAAAGTGGTATTTTAAAAGAATCACAGCTATTCAGGAAGAGAAATTACACCTTCAAAATGATGACCAATATTCTCTTGAACAGGTAATTCATTATGTCATCATAATGTTTCATAACAAGTTTGACCAGGCGCCTGTATCAGAGAACATTCTAAAAATGCACATGCATTAATTGATCAATTGTGATACATGTCGCTATAACTTGTTTAGATCAACTTGAAAATGATAAGTAAAAGCAATTCATTTTTGTAGTTTTGTATCATGAATATAAGAAGAATATTTACCAACAAACCACCTGATTAAGGAGGCTGTGTAGCTGAATGAGTGACTCCTCAATGTCTGCTATTCACTTCAATTTGTTAACTGAAGAAAACATTCTATGAGGGAGGCAACAGGCAGATGAGCCTTTTCATCATATAGCAAACCAGTATCCCACTTTTAACATTTTCCACAAATCAGTCATTGCTTATAAATATTGCCAGGATCATGCACCCTTTAGCAAGTATTTTAGGAATGAAGATTTGTATGTTGGTTATATGGCCATGAACAGTGTGGCCAACGGAAAGGAAGTATCAATGAAATTTGTTTTTCTAGGTGATGGGAAATACTTTTTGCAGTATAATTATGTTTGTCCTACTTTTACAGTATAATTATGTTTGTCCTATTTTTATTTGGCTTGAATGTTGCCCAGATTTCAAGCTAGAAAGAGAGCTTGAAAATTGCTGAAGATGCAATCATGGCAAAAGGGGCCATTTGACATACCAAAAAAAACAGAACTCTGACTAACAGAAATTATAGTCAAAATGAACACCATGTATGTTGCAAAAGGTCTGTAAGGCTTACAATTTGTATTCATTACTATAAAAAGATTTCTGAATTTTTTTCTCTTGGGCTAACTTTTGAATATTAAATTTTTATATACATTTATTGCGCTCATCTACCCCTTTGCAGTTTCAGTATGAAATTTTGCTTCACAAGACAAGAAGGAGAGAGCTTGGTTTGGATGATGACTCTTTTAAAGAGCACAAACATCACATACAGAGTGTGAATCAGTCCTTAGAAAGAATCATTGAAGGGAAATCACCTGTAAAGGTACACATAGTTTAGGTCTCTTGTTTGAGTTGCTTTTTCATTATAGAAGTTTCACCCTCAGGATTGATCATATTTAGAACAATTTTTGGCTCTTCCTTCTGCTCAGCTGATATGCTAACCCCTTTTGAATAATATGGATCATTTTTTTCCTTAGGCATCACCAACTTCAAGTTCAGAAGCTAGTAATGAAAAACAATGGCTGCAGGATGAAGTAGAACGTCTAAAAAAGGTCATTATAAAAATCATTAATTAGACTGTAGCCTGTTTTTTGTATGCATAGTCTGTGTATCTCCTACATGTAGCCTGTTTATATGGCTAAATCTCAGGGATCTGAAAATTTCTAATTTTTAACCCATTTTTGTTGTTTTTAAATAATATATTTCTAGTATTTAGCCTCTCAGAAATCTGTTATCAATTTTGTGAATAGCAGAGTTAACAAGTGCCTCCCTGATCATTTTTAAGTGCTAGCGTTTATTGTGTCGCTCTCTTTCAATATTGTTGCGATTTTCCCTTAGAGTAGCCCTTTTTGAACCTTTTCCCTTCCAAGCTCTCATAATAGTAATTCTCCTTACTGTCTACCATACAATTCTTATGATTTTAGTTCAAAGAACTAGGTATTGGATCGTATTGGATCAACTAATAATCTCCTAATTAATATTTTTGTTTATTCCCATCATTTGTCTGCTTGATATTATGTTGATATTGTAAGGAGAAATTCTGTCTTGGTCACTCATGGGAGCTGTTCAGTCACTAATAGCGGTTAAGAGACCATAAGGAATCGTTGATTGGTGTTATTTGTATAATAATATATTTTCATCATCAGGAGGTCTCTGAGAAAGGAAGTAAAATTGCTCAACTGGAAACTGAGAAGTCTGCCCTCATCCGCGACTTGTTCAACAGCAAAGCGTCTGGAAAAAATGGACTTAGCACAAAAAAGCCCCATCAGATCTTCTAATCTGAAGGCAAGGCCGGCCAAATTGTTTCGAGGAGCTTCAAGTAATTGCAAGTTAATAGGTCACTTGTGCATATTGGTAACATCTCCGAATGTCTCCAGTTTCAACATGGAGTCTGATAACGATATAAGTTACCCTATCCATTTTACTCGCTAACAACTGATATGGATAGTTTACAATCTCTCGGTTACACATTACTCGCTGCGCTGCTGCTGAAAATCCTATGGGTCAGCAGAGCATTAATTAAGCAACACACGACAAGGCATGTATTAAATTGAAAAAGATAGGGAAAAAAGTATATATTTATATAAAAATAATTATCAGCGCCTGTTATTAGCAATGATAAATAAAAAGTTAATATACTTATTAAGCAAATGGATCGTCTAACGCAGTGCTCCGCCTAATTTTTTTTCAAGTGTTATGAGCTTTTGACTTTAATATACATACTGTTGTTACAGCCCTACAACAAATGAAGTTGATTTCTAAACATTATTTAGGGTATTATACATAGTAGGAGATGATCTTGATTCCTGTTGAGCGCACCAGATGTGTTTACTGTACATTTTTCTGAGATCAGAATCCAGGAGTTGTTTTATAGTTTAATTTTATAATCGTACATAAAAGAAGTATTATTGAAATATTAACGTAAAGAGGTAAAGTGAGAAAAGATGAATTTAATTATCTCTTTACTTCAAAAACTGAAAAGCAGTGAAACATAAATTATGAGAAGACATTTTTTTATCGATATACTTGCATATTTGTTGTATATTTTGATTTAAATGGTTTATTCGATAAAACGCTTTGTTAAAGTGAGAAAGTGTAAAATTCTTACCGTCATTGACAAAGCAGTTTGTATGTGATTGTGTCGAGAAATTCGCCAAGGGACCGGGAACGATGCTTAAGAGGAGCCAATCAGAACACTTGATTCTACTGAGGGTTAAACTGGTTTATAACATAGCGCGTAAATTTGTCTAATCAAATTCAATTCCGTGAGCGACTGCTTTATATTCCTATTGTGCACGCTCATGACGTCAGCAAACAAATCCCTCGGAAAAGAAAAATTTTTACCATCGGGTTGAAAATGTTATAAAACAATTGGTTCACACGTCAGCTGTGGAGAGCACTCAATAAGCTAGAGTTGCTCTCGGCTACGCCTCGAGCAACTCTTACGCATCCTTCGTGCTCTCCAAACTTCCCGCGTGCTTCTTATCTCGATGAATTTAAAGAGGTAAAGTGAGAAAAAAAACGCATATCTCGATGTGCGGTCATCGAGATATGAAGCACTTGGGAAGTTTGGAGAGCACTTAACAAGCTAGAGTTGCTCTCGGCTACGCCTCGAGAAACTCTTACGCATCTTTCATCCTCTCCAAACTTCCCGCGTGCTTCATATCTCGATGAACGCACGCTGACGTATGAACCAATTGTTAAATGAAGTGCACTTTGGCAAAGGCGAAGAGATTGGCCGATAAAAATACGGCTGCATGCAGATGCATATGTAGTTATTTCTACATAACAAAAAAGAGTGAACACGCTAAAGGGTGGAACTTTAAATATAAGCTTACATCGACACGCAGTAAATATGAAAAGAAACGGTTACCAGTTCAAAGACTTTCCCCCAACTCCAAACAGATCTGCTCTTTTCCATAACCCCTCTGAGGCTGTTTTCTTAGTTATGACTTTTTTTTTTAGTCTGACTTCAAGCGGGAGTCATTCTGTAAACGTAAGATAATCAACTTCCAAGGAAATTAAGTGGAGTGTTTTGGATACAGTGCCAAGCCCCCCCTTAGGCGAATTTTCTCAATAAACAGCCACCGACAGAACATTTACGTTGTATTTTGGTTGTGTGCAGCGTTGTAACCTGTTGCCTATTGTCTTCGCAATCCAATCCTCAGTATGTGACCGAGCAACAGCTGAAGTTACAAATTTAAATAAACGTCTTTCCAGCTGAGGAGTATAATGATATCTACGAAAACCTCTAAATATATCGCAAATATCTTAAAACAGATTGAAGTTTCAATTATGCCGCGCTAGCGGGATCGGGTAGCGACAGGTGTTCACGGGTTTCCTGCGAATGACGACGCTTTGTTTAAGAACGACGCTTGAAGAAAAATGAATTAATTTGAGAGGTCAGATAAAAGTGGTGATGATTTCAACACTGCCAAAGGTCGCCCAACTGAAATCTGCTGCGGTAGCTGGATTCCCTTTGAAATAATCTGCAGTGGAACTCTTGAGGTTACGTTTATTCCATCGAAAACTTTGAACACATCAGAATCACGCAACCTTTTCTTGTCGGTGATAATGTAGCCAGACTCAGTCCATGGGTTAAAATTAATTATTGTCTTGTGCACCAGTTCGACTTCAATGCAATGACCCCACTGCAAATGGGTCCATTGTAATCATTTGAGAAGAAGGAACATAGCCGCTCGGATTTCAACACTGTCAAAGGTCGCCTAATTGAAATCTGCTGCGCTATAGTGGTAAGTTTTCAAATCTACTGCTGCAAACTTCTTAAAATTACGTTTATGACATCGAAACGCTTGATGTTTGAACTACTGCTAAGATGTACTTGTCACAACGGAAACTTTGGAAATTTTTCGCAGTCGCATGCGGCCTTTTATCGCTGATGACCCTCTTCTTATTAAGGCTGTTATCGAGGTCCTGTAAACATGAAGAAAACAAGGACTTCCCCACTGCATCGATGATAAATAATGGTCACCCTCCATTACATCACGTGGACCGTTCTACTCCTCTTATTTTTGTCGGCGGCTTTCCGCGAAGCGGAACCACTCTCATGAGAGCTATGCTAGATGCACATCCCGACATCAGATGCGGGCAGGAGACAAGGGTGATTCCGAAAATCCTCATGGGTATTTCAAGGATATTCAGCTTTGTCAGTGAGAAAGAAAAACAGAGAAGAGAGGAAGCTGGCGTTAACCAAGATCTCTTGGACTCCGCTGTAGCGGTGCTGATAGGAGAAATCATTGCTAAACATGGAGATCCCGCGCCACGATTGTGCAACAAAGATCCTTTAACTTTCAGGAATCTTAGCTATCTAGCCAGAATATTTCCCAAATCCAAATTTGTTTTCATGGTAAGAGACGGACGCGCTGTTGTCCACTCCATAATGGAGAGAGGAGTTGTTATTCGTGGCGTCAACAATCGCCGTCCAGAAATCCTTTTGAGAACATGGAATGATGCCACAGGTGAGATGAACGCTCAATGTGTAGCGTTGGGTCAGTCAAGATGTTTGAGAATCCCCTATGAGCATTTGGTGCTGTTCCCTGCTGAGAGCATGGAAATCATCCTGGAATTTTTGGATGTTTCTTGGAATGACGCAGTGGTCCATCATGAAACTATGATAGGGAAACCAGGAGGTGTCATCCTTTCCAGGTAAAAGCAGCTATTAATCAATCAGAAAAAACGTCCGAATATCTGATGTGTTTAATGTATACAGCAGTGAAGTTATGAAAATCTTCCAGTCTCAGTATTTCCTCGACATCCTTCCCAATTCTGACGGTTAAAAGTTTACCATTTGCGCAAGAATCACTGCGCCCGAAGATTTGATTTTATTGAGTTACACGCTGAATCGTTCAGATCCCGCTCATTTTGTGTTTTTATCGAGAGGGCTTGAGGAGGGTTGCGAAGCCCCCTTGATACTTTTATCCCCATCATTGTGCGTTTGTTCGAGTCTGGCTTGTTCAAATTCCTTTCGCGTTTTGGTGAGCCAAGAGATCATTTGACACGAGTTAAAGCTCTCTGGTAAGCTAGCGGTTCTGGTAAAAGTTTTGTAGGAAGACTGAAGCTGTGCCCTTACTCCTAAGGCGCAAGGGGAAAGGAACAAGGGGAAAAAACATATCGCTTTTCTTGCTTTTCCTATTTATGCCTATGCTTGTTTCTATATTTTATAATTTTTAGCCTTGAAAAGTCAACAGATCAAGTGAAAGAAGCTGTCAACTTGAGAGCACTGTACAAATGGTCTGAAAGATTATCATCATCTTTAATGGAACATACCAACAGAATTGCTCCTGTCATGAGAACTCTTGGCTATGATACTCGGATAAAGTGGCCTGATTACCGAAAGATGGATTCAGTCGTTACAAAACACAATAATTAATCTCTACATTTAAAGTAATTAAACAAGTTCAAATAAAACGCAAAGCAATCATTATATTCTTAATTATAATTGTATTTAATTCCTCCTCTCTAGGCCCATTACCCCCTCCTATCAGAGACGTTGCAACTTCGGCAAGTTGCATCTACACTACTATTTTTTATCTTATCTCTTATATGTCTTATAATCCCCTTATTTAATTTCCCCCCCCCCCCCCCCCCCCCCCCCCCCCCCCCCGTGGTTCATTTTTTCTTGTGACTACACCCTCTTCCCCTTCTTCCCTTCCGTGGGCTTGATTTCCGACCGCTCTCTGGACTCTGGTTTTCTTTGGAGGAGGGAACGCCGGCTCCTTTGTCAGACAGTGGCTTGTTGTTAACCTCACTAGCTCTTGATATAATGTTGTACAAATCTCAGAATGACACGGCTCATTTCAAGTTCAGGAGAAGTCAGTTACAAGTCCAGGGAAAAAAGGAGACGTCGATACAATCTTTTTGACATCAACTCCTTGGAGTTGATAATTTTTTTTAAATTTTAAAAAACATATAACTGACGAAAAAAATAACGAATGATAATAATAATATTTACCTCTGTGGACGCATTTATTACACAGGTATTTATTTTAATTTATGTTCTGCACTTTTTACATGACGCGGCATTTATTTGTACGTTAAAATTTCACCAATGACAGATGGTAGCATTTTTAGTTATAGATAAAGCAGGCTGACATAAGGTTTAATAAGTCATCAATAGTCATTCCTTATGGAAGCTGAATAATTTGTACATTTTGCGCGGAAACATTGTGTATGTCATTTTTTAACATTCATTTCTCGTGTGAAATATCCTACAATTTTCTGTGACGCTTATATAACAAATTTAGCTCTAAATGCGTGTCCGCTGAATACCCCTTGCACCGTCCAGGCGTTGATTTTCCTCTCGCCCGAACTGAGCGTCGAGCTAAAATTTACATCGATGATGGAGAGTAAAAAGAGTTGGTCGCAAGCGTACATTCCTCAGAAACCATCCGATTATGTAGCATTCTTATTCATGATTGTTATGCTTTGGGTAATTGCACTCTTTGAACTATTTGTTGTCCTACCGCTTTACCACGAACCCTTCTCGTCATGGTGGTGTTTACACGTGTTTTGCGGTTTTTTCTTGTGGTTGAATGTGTTCGCCAACTTTTTCTTTCTGATCACAACGGATACAACAGGAAAGAATCTGGGAATGCCGTCCGTATTGAAGCCCGGCTGGACTTATTGTCCATTCTGTCAACTGAACGCACCTCCAAGAGCCCATCATTGCCAAGTCTGCAACGAATGTGTTTTGAAGCGAGATCACCACTGTATTTTTGCCGGAAAGTGTGTCGGCTTCAGGAACTATCGCTATTACATGTTTCTAGCGTTGTACCTTTGGTTAGGAGCTTTTTATGCCAATGCTTTTCATCACGAATATGTGACGTCGGAAATCGGCAGTTTCAGCGTTGCAACAGTACTCACCATGGTCACTCCAATCTTGATGTGGATGTTAGGATACACGACTCTTTACGGATTTTTCATTTCCTTCATGACGGGGCTTTCCATCTTTGCGTTCATTCTCTTTAGTGGCATGCTGTTCTTTCAGATTAGAATCATTTCTCGCGGTCAGACTTCGTATGAGAGAAAGAAGAAAAAGAAAGAATATGACCTCGGCTGGAAGCAAAATTTCTTGGACGTTTTTGGAGAGAAATGGTATTCAGCTTGGATCTGGCCCACTGTAAGTTCACCTTTGCCAGGAGATGGGACAAATTACAAGAAAACGTATCTTCAAGAAAGCAAGGACCTCTGAGAGGCATGCAACTCTAAAGCAACAGTTTAATGTCCCAAATTGTACCTGGTAATATTTGAAACAAAATTAAGGAGTTAATGCATCTTACATGTCTTGGATTTTATCATTCAGCACCCCCTTTGGTGTAAGGCCTGGTTTTCACTAGATTTGCAATTATAAGGGCAAGCATAGCCTTAATAGACAATTTTAGATTGAGTGTCCTAGGAGCAAAACTTAGCTTTTTACCACTATCAGTCATAAAAATTTTGCTGTAAAGCAAATACTTGAAAACATAGTGAAAAAGATGTAACAGTCCTGATATACTTCAAGTTCCTACTATGAGAGTTATCTAGACTAATCAGAGAGTGAAGTAAAAACAAAACAATTCTGGATTACCATGCATGCTCTATTCTAGAATAACACTGAGGAATACAAATGTCAGGATCAAATTTCTTTAATCCTTTTGCTTGTGCTTTTTCTTAAAGCTTTATATCTTTTGTACATTGTAATGTTTTCACTTACGTGTATGAATGCGTTGGTAGTGTAAACAAAGATATACTCTTTTGAAGCTGTAAATTTGTGTTTTTCCTCAACAACTTCAGGTTACAACTTTCAAGTAGTGGATAATCATAGGTGTTATAATCCAAAAACTTTGAATTGGCCCACAAGAAATCCTGTGTTGTACCATTTCAGACTGTAAACATAATTTTCAACAACTGTTTGTTGTAATCAACATTCGTGTCCCGAAGGCAAAGTGATTATTGTCAAATAATTCCTGAGATAAAGCAGACAGGATTATTCAACAACATTCACTGAATACAAGGAGGAGGATAGTTGCTTCAGTAGAATTTCTCAGGTGATTATCAGGCTAACTGCTTGTTTGCATTCCTCTTGGGGATCATCAAAAATTGCCTGCTTGCCAATTTGAAAATTAGAGTAATCCAATTTTGTAATCAATAATTTTTTAGTTTTAGCTGTAATGTTCTTATTTGATGTAAGGTTTTAACACTCTGGCCCATTGGGATTTACACGAACTTTGACTCCTTTTGGATCTTGGGATAGAAAAATGTTGGAAGATTATTAATAGAGCTTATTGTAGTGCATAAATTATGGTAACCCAGTGTTTGAACAATGTCATCGTAGTTGGAGCCATAAATATTGTATTATTTTTTTGAGCACTTTGAGTGTATTTAACTTTGAATAGCTATTTATTAGAAACTGAGACTGCTAGAGTTTGATGACTGAACAAAAGCTTTGTTTAGTCAAAGTGTTGTAGGTGGCTTTGAGTCCATTAAAGATCCAGGATGAATAACAAGAAATTGAATGTGTCTGTAGTTTGAGACTTTATGTGGCATCAAAAGTGTTAATGTGATTAATTATTGTGTACTGGGTTAATGCCTTAAACTGGAGTTTTTGGACCCCATAGCAAATAGCATATTGCTCTTTAGCTCTCACTCTCTTTGC